CGTTCATATGTTGGAAGTAGATATGAATGAAGACTGTCGTGAATTGGTGTGTGGATTGTCTATAAGAGTATTAGACATAAGCAAATGTTTGCTGCAACGTTCATGAGTGCTTATGAATATGATTTGAGCATTGGATTAAACCCACGCTCACTTGGATCACTCCATGAATTGTATTACGAGTGATTAGTGAGACGATAACATCTTATATTCTTGAAACCGAGATGTGTGAGTTGTATCTTGCTAATCGGTTGCACATTGATAATATGTAAACGCACTAGTAACTTGGTGTTATAAAACATATTGTTGTGTGTGATTTGGTTAGTGAGTGCAGGCAAGCATTGTATCAAAGTTTATCCGTTCCTTTTATCCAAGGTAGGATAAAAGCGATATCTTTGGGCCCCTCGATGGTTTAGTGATGACGTACGTAAATGCTCGGCCGGGCTAGGGCTAATTTGATTTGTTCAATTAGTCTGTCGTCATAAATCAAAAATCGAGATATACTACAAAGAGAATGATTTGAAATCATATCTCATATGATATCTAGAATGGAGGAATATATGATCCCTTATCTAAGGACACGCGTATCTGATATGATCAGAGTTGACAGCGGCTTTGGAAAGCTACGATTGCAGATCAGGATCTGAAGTCATACGCAGAATAGTTGTTAGACTTATCCAAGTGGGAGACTGTTGGATTAGTGTCTAAGTCCATAACTATTTTGGTATGTACTTGACCCGATGGTGCATGGTCCTTTTGGGTTGCCTTCACCAAAGCAACTTGATTGGAGAAATGAATAAAGAGAGAGAGGATAATATGATTTATTAATATGTTATAAGAATAATATATTAAAGGAGAAATCATATTTGTTTAATTAATATTGGTCAATAATTAATTAAGAATTAGTTTTGTGATCAAATGTAATTAATTAAACTAGAGGGGCTGATTTGTAATTATGTGATAGTTACAAAATAAGGTAAGGATTATCTTATTTATATGGTGGACGAATTTAAGGTTGGAAAGCCTTAGAATTCGAGTATGATAAGGATTCAAGGATTATCTTATTGGTTGCTTAATGGATAATCAACTAGATAAGGATAATGACTGAAACCTTATCTCTACACCTATATAAACACCCCTAGGGTCATGAATTCGTGTATCCCTTCCCAAGAGGTCCTAGATACGAATTCTAACCTCTCACCTCTCTCTTTATACCTTCTCCATTTGCTTATGGTGTTTGTAAGCCATTAGAGGAGTGACACTTGTGACTCTAAGCATTCCAAAGTCAATACAAGGAGGAATTGGGATTGTTATTGCTACATAACAATCAAGGTATGATCTTAAACCAAATTATATGTTAATGTCGATTTCCATATGTTAGAATTAGGGTTTATAGTCTTGGATTCAAAGCATGTACAATAGAGAAACCTAGATCCAAGCATTAGGGTTTGTATGAGCACATATGATGTCTTATGACCAAAACCCATCACTTATCTCATAACCTAACCCTAATACCTTTAGCCTCTATCCCTCCAAACCCTAGAAATCGAACCTTAGCCCCCATTTGAGTGATTTTAGAGCTTCAAAGTGATTTTTGGTGTGTTTTGGTGCTAGAAGTGGAAGAAGGAACTTCTTGAAGAGTCATTGTTTGACTTGGAGCTTTCGGATCCAAGCTTTGTGCATCTAGATCTATCTTCTGGAGGTATAAAGTCTCAACCTTGACAACTTTTTCATGTAGATCTAGCTAAGTGGTACCTTGTTATGGTTTTTGGTCCCTTTGAGGTGGTTCTTGTGAGTAGAAGCTACTCCAGAACATTTGAGCCTCTTATTTGGTCTTTACTGAGGTTATGGAGTCATAAAGTTTAGATCTCGAGAGGTATAAACCTTCCATGCATGATTTGGTAGTCATTTGATGAAGTTTGGAACTTAGGTTTTAGATTTAGGCTCCCTTGAGTTATGCTAAGTCATAAAGTTGGAAACTTTATGACTTAAGAAGTCCATTGAAATCAGATATGGAAGTTTGGACTGAGGTATTAAGGTATTAAGAAGTGCAAAGACATTTTGGGAGTGATTTTGACCTTTTGGAATTCATCCTTGGTGTTTGGGATTCATTAAGCCATGCAAAGGCTTAAGGCATTCGACTTTATGGGCCAAGTCACTTATATTAATCCATTTTGAGGTTTTGGACGTCTTGGCTTAATGGATTAAGAGCTAGGATTGAGAGTTGGTCAACAGGAGGAGTATGTTGGGCGTACAAGACTTTAAGCCAGTACGCTTAGCGTACAAGCTGAGTACGCCCTGTGTACTCAGCAGAATGAGATTTTGATTTTTGGGCTTTGGTTTGGGCCATCTTCTGGGCTTGTTGTTTTGGGCGCTGTTGGGCCATCAGGTTTTGGGTTGACATTTTTTTTATGGAGGCCTACTATGGTCTTGGGCCCAAATTGGAAAATTGGGCCATGGACCGGGCCACGAGTGATTTTTTTTTAGCATTTTGGGTTTAGGTGTTTGGATTATTATTGGGCCATCAGAATATGAAGTGTATTGGACTAGGAAGAATGATTGGGCCTCATGGCAAGACTCACATAGAGGTTTGGGCCCAATTTATAAAATTTAGCCATTTATTGGATTATGGACATTATAGTGTTAGGCTTTTATTTGGGTTATGGCCTTAGTTCCGGATCAAACTAGGTCGTGGATAAAATGGTCATTTTACCCCATGTATGGATTCATGATTTTGGTATGTGAACCAATTGTTAATTCGGTGATGTTTTGATATTGATAGTTCGAAAATCTGTCAACCAGCAGTTGGGATTGTTTCTACAGGACTTCAGCAGTGTGAGGTGAGTTACCTTCCAGTAAAAGTGGGTCTAAAGCCACAATGTCGGCCCACTAGTAGGATTTGTTTGTTAGATAATTTTCTTTGTGACAATTATCTCGTACTCTCTTAATTGTCTTGTTTGTGTGCTAGGATGTTATATGATACATGTTTATGTTATGTTATTATGTGGTAGTGGTAAGGGTGAAATAGTCCCCGTTATCCGGTTGAAACAAACCGAAGGGGAGGCGAACACCCAGATATGCTAGGCAATTATCTGGTTGAAATAGACCGAATGGAAGGCCAACAACCAGATATGCTAGGCAGTTATCCGGTTGAAATAGACCGAAGGGGAGGGCAGCACCCAAATATGCTAGGTAGATATCTGGTTGAAATAGACCAAAGGGGAGGCCGGTACCCAGATTTGCCTGACAGTATGTGTTATGTATGTTATTAGGTACGAGGGGGGGGGGGGGAACTCACAAAGCTTTGTGCTTACGGTTTTCGTTTTTGGTTTCAAGTACTTCGTTTTCAAAGGAAAGGAGCCGACTCGATCGCATCGCATCACATTATGTCTTTCCGCACATGAGATCTTTGGGATTACACTATGATATTGTTTATGATAACATATTTTGATTATTTCTACTTTGAATTTGACATGACATGATATTATGAACGTTTTCTTATACTGTTGGTTTTATAATAACTTATTAAAAATGAAGTTTTTGGCCTTGAATTTTGGGATGTTACACATGACTATATATTATCCTAATCAAAGATTTTAATTATAATAACTACTACTTATTATATTTTAATTGTCTAGATCGAATTTGCGGATGTTACATAATTTTCGGGAAATTTATTTTGAGATTCACAATTTAACACACCAGATTCATAACGTAAAACTTCTAAACCACATTACTTTGCTGAAACACTTGACCCACCTCCCCCCTCCAGGCGACAAAAGCATCAAGAGTAATATTTTTCTCAAAAATAGTTTAACTGTCATAATTTCTTCATTATTTGTCTAATTTGATGATTTTTTTCGAGTTTGTAGTTCAGAAGTTAAACTACTATTTACACAGTTTACATGTAATTTTTGATTGTATATTGAATGAGATATAGATCCCTAAATAGAGGGTATTAGAAGTTTTTTTAACTAGCATTTATTTTATTCGGTTCTTAATCATATTGTAAATGTTATTCGATTTATTCAGGAAATAAGGCTGGAGGGAGTGGTGCCATCGAAACCGCACCCCATTCACCACCACATAAGCGCCACATCATTTTTTACCACACTAGTGTGGTTTCTTGCCACACCAAGGGAGTGATGCCACACTTTTATTTTTATTTTTTTGTTTTTTAGCTATTTTAATTTAATAAAACTACTTTTTTAACAAAAAAATATAATTTTAAAAAGATAATATTTCATTAATTAGAAATACAAATACCATACATTGCTTAACTTAAAAAAAATCTAAAAAATTAGAAAAGCATATTAAAAACATAAAACCTACAACTTATTTTAAAACATACACACACACACACACCAAACGATTAAAAACTAAAAAAACTAGAAATTAGCCACGATTTATGTAACGTTTTTTCACTTCCTCCTTCATCGTCAAAATAACTTGAAGCTCGTCCCCGGTCATATTCGACGTGTCCAACGCTAGCATTCACATGTCGCTCCTCCTTTGTTTCCAAAGTTCTCTTTCAGAAACAATTTGCAAAATCTTGTCCATTCTATCTTTTATACCCTTCATGTCGGCCCCCATTTTTTTCAACTCATCTGAATCTAACGCTTTGCCTTTGCCTTTACTTTTTGTTTTGTCTCTTACCATTGGTCGGGAAGGTGGTGAAATTAGAACAGGTTTATTGTAACATCCCGTTTATTTAAATAAATTAATAAATGTAAGTCCCGGACTAGTTTGTGAAGAATTTTGAAAGTCGAGGGTTAAAAGTGTACGTTCAGGACATAAATTGAAAAGATTTGAAAGCTTAAGGGTTTATTGGTGATTTATGGATCTTTTATGAAAGAAATTTATGGGATCAGGGTTTAAAAAGTAAGTTTTGGATTCAATTTGTAAAGATTTCTGAGGGCAGGGTCTATTTGGTATGTTTTGGATTTAGTTTGAAAACAAATTATGATGGAGGGGCTGAAGTTGAATAAATTGATCAAAGTTTCATGAGGACACGGGATATACCCGGTAACCCCTTCGGCCCTTCCCCATCGTTGGAAAAACACAAACCCTAAACTGAAGGGAGCACCTACAGCCGCCACCCCCTTCCTCTTCTCCTCCCAGCTGACATCGCCAAAGAACCACCGGAGCAGCCACCTAGCTCCACCACCGGCAAGACGAAGAGACTCAAGGGATTAGGAACTCGTTCGTGGGTAGGTTGCTATTTGCGTTTGGGTGGCTGCCTCAGCACACGTCCGTCGCTATGGCGCTGAGGAGCAACGGTGTTCCCGTTTAGTGCCGCCACCTCCATCGTTTCCCAGTGACGTCGACTGTTGCGTTTTCATCAATAGAATCCGAGCAAAGGACCCTCTTTTGTCACCGTTCGATGCTACCGTTGTTGCGCCTATCGATGGCGGACTCTCATCGTCCTGCCACTACTAGTCGTTGATGTTGTCGTTCTAGTGGCCGTCGTGTTCCAGCCACGACTTGTCGTCGCCGCCTATGCAGCCCTCATGTCACTCCGGTTGTTTCTTAGCGTCCCAAGGGACGACCATGCTTGTATTTCACAAGGTTACGAGTGTGTTGCTGCTTCAAGTTCGAGTGAAGTGTGGTCGTTTGGTTTAGCCAGAAATCAAGAGCGAGCACCATCACTACCTGCCGCCGCCGACCACTATAAGGTGGTTGTGTGTGTTTGTTTTGTTTTAGGTGTGTGTGATTGTATTTCTATTAGTTATGTGTGTTTGGGTATTTTGGTTAGCCGGAGTTCATGGAATAGTCACTGCCGCTAAGCACCACCGCCGGCCACCACAGTGTGGTTGTGTGTGTTTATCCTTGAGTAAAGCATTGTAATTGTAATTTCCAAAAGAGTAATGAAAAGAAACTCAAACCACCTCGGGAGGGGCTGAGTCTCCAGCTCGATCTCCCTCTTCCGGGCATTTGACTAAAGCTCAGCAAATGTCCGGTATGAGGAGTTCGCCACGAACTCCCGAATGTCTCGCCTCAAGATACTCAAATACCGGCTCATACGTGCCTGCTCAGTGGATACGTGCTCAGGGCAGAACATCGCCCTCTCGTGAAACATCGTGGTAATCACCGTAATAGACTCAGTGCCCTGCTTGAGGGTCAGAAACTCCTGGGCCAAACGCTCCTTCTCCACCTGGGGAACGTACTCATCTCGGAACATGGCAGTGAACCTCTCCCAGGTCACTGCCGCAAGCTCAGCAGGCGAAAAGTATGCTGTGACAAACTTCTACCAGTCCTTCGCTCCCAAGCGAAGCTGGTTCAGCGCGAACCGTACTCTCAAATGCTCAGGAGATGAGCAAGTGAAGAAACACCCCTCTATGTCAGAAATCCATCTCATAACCTCCACCGGGTCTTGGGTCCCATCAAACTCTGGTGGTTTCGTGTTGCTGAACTCCCGGAACAGCAACGCATCACCACCCTGCGGCCTCGTAGCAGCAACAGCTGCGGTGGCCGCCGCAACAACAGCCTCAGAAAGAGCAGCATAACGCTCGTCAAAAGTCTTAATCAGTTCGGTCTTAACAGACCCGAACATCTCTGGTATCTCTGCCCTGATGACCGCAGCCACCTCATCGTGAATGATCTGACGGATCTCCTCATTACTAGCCCCGACGCCCTCCGGCATATGACGTGTCTTCACCATGATCAACCTCTGAAATACAACATATGATAAATTAGAATCCGCTCGATCATACTCACACTCGACAACTCATCCCTCCTTGATCCTTGGCATACCAAAGATTCTTACTTGGACCGTATACCGCCCCGGTGCTTTCAGTAGTACGGGCCCAATACTACTGTCCACACCGTTTCACTATACACCCCAAATCCTCCTCTTCGGATCCCAATTTCCAAGTACTCTATCACTCTCTAACAGATCTCTCATAAGCTCCTCGCTGCTACCTATTCACTCTCCAGCATCTCATAGCAGCTCACCTCTTCCTAGGCTAAGGCATCACAAATCAGGGCACTCTAGTCCTAATAGGAATACCTAGCCTACTCTAGCAAGAGAATACATCATATAAATTTTCATAAACATATAATATAAGGGCATTTTGGGAAATCACCGTTCGGACGCTGACTGATCGTACACACGTTTCTTCTTTGAATTTCTCTAAAAAAAATCTTTTACTTTTAGAAAAATTTGGTTCTCTTTTGAAAATATTTTTCCAAATCCTTAGTTTGAGTTCAAATACTCCTGAAGGTGTACCCGAATCCCTTAAACCAAGGCTCTGATACCAACTTGTAACACCGTAAATTTCAAAACAAATTTTTCAAATTTTATAAAACATAATTCACTTAATATTCATAAAACAACCATTTTTAAACATTCAATCCAATTAATACAAAAATCCCAAGATCTCAAAAATCATAAATCCCATGCGTGTGTACGGATCAAGCCGGCGCCTTCCCGCGGTCGTCACTAGTACCTGAAACAAATAACATCAAACACTGTAAGCACGAAGCTTAGTGAGTTCCCCAAAATACCACATATAACACATATTAGCCACTCGAGGCTATCACTCTGTGGGTCCGTGCACCCAAACTCTGTGAACCCTCAGGTTCTAACTCTGTAAACATGCACAACATAAATCACAAAGAATAATGCAGCGCAACACATAACATATAAATATAGCATACAAGCACTGTATCACATAACTCTCTTTACCTACTCAAGGTAAAGTATAGTGAGAAGACTCACCTCGTGTGTCTCGGTAATTCGTAAATCCCTGAAATCACTAGTGCTCGATCTCCCGAGCTATAGTCCTCCTATAACACAATACATCTCTAATTAACACTTTCCCAACTAAGGTTGACTATCCCTAAACAAGTCAACATACGTCAATGGTCAACTTTGACCGGACTCGACGAGTGCACTATAACGACTCGGCGAGTCTAAGCGCATACACTGATTTCCCTGAAATCCTCACCTGACACGTCGAGTATTCTCTTAACTCGACGAGTTTCACCTGGCATGAGTTGTGGGGCCTCCACGACTAAACTCGTTGAGTCTCAAGAACAACTCGGCGAGTCCCAACTTGACTCAGTCCACCTGTCAATCCACTCTGACTCTCCCTGACTCACTGAGTCAATCCCTCAACTCGGCAAGACCACTCGCTGAGTGGTGCTGGACAATCTTCATGCTACTCGTCGAGTCTGTTCTTCGGACTCGGAGAGTCCATGCCTTGCAATGACTCAAACTCACTCCTAAGGCCAGATCTGTTCCACTAACTCATAGATCCAGTCCTTCCAAGCTTATTTATCACGTAAAGTCGCTATCTTGATGTACATACGACCTCTATATGACCATATATGATGATTTAGCCACAAATACCATAACTCAAGGTCATAACCTCCATTGTTCTTCATAAAGCTTGATGAATGAGGCTCTATGGACCTCTATGGATCCAGATCCAAAGCCTCATCACTAGCAAGGGACTATTTGGCCATCAAATCAACCCAACAAAGGCCACAAGAAACCCTAAATCCAATTATACTTCATAAAACAGAAGATGAGTCGAAATAATACCTCAAGTTCGATGATCTAAGCTTCAAATCCACAGTATAGCAACCTCCTTGCTTCCTCTTGGCTAGAACCTCCTTCTTCTTTGCTAAACAACACACAAACGTCAAGAATGACTTCCTTTCTCTCTCAAAACGTTCAAGCACTCTAGGGTTTTTCTCTATGGACTGGTGAGCACAAATGACGGCCATAAGGCCCTTTAAATAGGTCTCAAACCCTGGGAATTAGGGTTTCATTACACAGCGTGGACTCGCCGAGTCCACTCTTGGACTCGCCGAGTCCAGACGCGAACCCGTGTCCAAAATCGCGATCCTACTCGGCGAGTTCGAGCTCCAACTCGCTGAGTCCACTCACAATTCTCAAAAATGCACCAAAAATAAATACCTGGAAATTCCGGGCTGTTACAGTAATTGGTAATTGGGCCAATAATGAGCCATCCAAGAATGATTATGGACTAGAATATTTAGTTGGGCTTTAGGGTAAGGCCTAATGAAGGATTGGGCCCAATTTGGAAAATTGGGCCATAGATGAGCCATAGTTTGGGCCTAGAGAGCTGTATGATATTGGGCCCTTAGAATGGGAAATGTTGGACTGGACTGGACAATTGGGCCTTAAGGGAAGCCCATGTAGAGGTTTGGGCCCAATTTAGAAATTGGGCCATATGTTCGGCTTTGATCCCTAGTTGACTTTGGGCCTATGGATTGGACCTTGGGCTTGGGTAAGCCAAGCTAGGGGTAATGTAGTAATTACCCAAAGTATGTATTTATAGTTATGTGTTAGAACCCAATTATTAATTGGGTGTTATTTTGGTGTTGACAGTTCGGGAATCTGTCATCCAGCAGCTAAGGTTGAGTCTGCGGGGCTTCAGCAGTATGAGATTGTGTCTATGGGATGTCAGCAGTGTGAGGTGAGTTTCCTTCCAGTAGGAACGGGTCTAAGGCCACAATGTCAGCCCGTTTAGCTAATAGTAGTTTCCGGACTTCGGTCCGATGTAGTAGTTAGTATGTTTGATGCCTTCGTGGCTCAGACAGGATTTATGTGTTATGTGTTTCGGGCTTCGGTCTGATGCAGTATGTAGTATATGTGTTCATGCTAGTTGATATGTTTATGTTATGTTCAGTCAGTTCCGGACTTCGGTCCGATGCAGGGGACAAGGTCCCAATCAGTTCTGGACTTCGGTCCGATGCAGTCAGTTCCGGACTTCAGTTCGATGCAGGGGGACAAGGTCCCAATCAGTTCCGGACTTCGGTCCGATACAGAGGGCAAGGCCCTGGTTAGTTTCCGGACTTCGGTCCGATGCAGTTTTCGGACTTCGATCCGATGCAGAGGGCAAGGCCTAGTAGATGCTTTATATGTTATTGTATCGTATGTGGTAGTTTGGGGGAGCTCACTAAGCTTCGTGCTTACGGTTTTCAGTTTTGGTTTCAGGTACTCAGTTTTCAAAAGAGGAGCTCGGGAAGATTACAGTGCACACACCATTTGTTTAGCTTGGGATGTTTATACTCTGATATACTTGACAGTTGTTACAATATTTTGAGATAAATGTCTTATGAGTTTGAAATGAGGTTTATTGACTATGGTTTTTATTATTAAATTAAACGAAATTTTCAGACTGTGTTTTTAGGATGTTTCATTTATCTTTGTTCAGATCAAATTGAACACGAGCATCTGATGTAGTGTGGTCGGACTCAGATGTTCTGCTGCATTTTGAACCACTGTCGATATCGTCTGATGTTTTGCTACTTTGTCATTTCTTGTTATCTTTCACAAAATTCCAAACTTCAAGAAACTTGAAAGCCTTCATATTTTATTTTTGATACACTTTCAACACTTTCTTCAAAATCACTTCATCGCTTTCTCCATTTTTCCATTGACGTGTCATGTTGTTATACAAATTATTAAACAACATGATTTCCTTGTTTATCTTCCCCCATTTGATGTACACTTGATGTTTTGTACGGTATTTTCCATGGTTCATTCATTTATCGAACCTATGTAAAACACAAATCCAAAAGCGGTCATGCTGTTGGTCTTTTCCAACCTTCGTATCTTCTGAAATATCGATCCAAGAACACTAACACTTCCAGGGGTTCCTAACATTTAGCCTCCGTCTTCTCTTTTCTTTTAGTTGTTGCTCAAGTGGGTTGAGTTTCTGTAACGAATTCTGGTTTGGAATCAGAAACGACCGTTTCTGGTTGTGTTTGTGTTTGTTGAACAAACTCGGGTAGAGA